AAATCTTATTGACTATCTGAATGAAGATTGGAAAAAGTTGAATGGCGTGGAGGAATATGAAATTATGAAAACGTATGCCATGAAAGTAAAACTGATTTCCTTGGCATATTCCTGTAAGGATAAATCAATCGATATTATTTTTATTTTAACGGATGATAGACGATTTCTTTTTTTGTAGTATTTGCTTACGGGGGCACCAGTATATTCATGTTAATTACCCTCGTACCCAAATTACTAAATATCCTGTTACCCTTGAACGAATCTCGTCCTATAACTACACCTTACGACGTCTACTATTTCGTCGACGAAGAAAAATATTACTCCTACATTATGTTTCACATTATTGTGTGCTTTGGTATAATTCTAACAACCGTACTCGCACATGATTTCATGTTTCTGGTTTACATACAGCATGTCTGCAGTCTCTTTGCTGTTGCTGGGTAAGAATATCTTTTTACACTGTTTTAATTTAACACGACTGATTAACTGTAGAATTGTCGCCTAACTATTCGCAGATTTCATTTTGAGACAGTATCACGTAACGATCGTAACGATGTTGCGAATAATTATCCAAAAGACCGAAAAATTTACGATCGCAAAATCGCGATTTCCGTTAATGTACACTGGCGAGCTTTACGGTAAGTGCACAATAGTATTAAATAAAACGTGTGCTAAATATACAAAAGTACATATAAAAAAAAGACATTATCAATTTATATACAAAGTATGTTTTTATGTATTGAGCAGATTTGCGGAGATGCTTGAAGACATCTCTTGCACTGCTTTCGCGGCACAAATTTTGATAATGACCATAACAATGAGCATTACTCTACTACAAGTACGTATCTGTTTGTCGTTGAAGATCAACTTGGTATTCACGTATTTCGTGTTACTTACAGATTATCTTAAGTTATTATTTGTTAAATCATTATTTGTGCTTATATGATTAATAGTTAAGAGACTAATAAAGCAAAAGAGATTATAATATTGTATTTGTCTTCGAGATCGCGTTACAGATTGATAATATTCAGGAAACGCTGAAATGCATAATATATATATTAGCTCAAGTATTACAAGTGTTCTGCTTCAGTCTGCTAGGTCAGATATTGATTGATCACAGCGTGAAATTGCGCGACAAAATGTAAGATTGTAACCATCTAAATTTGGTGGAATAATAAATTTGTTGACGATTGAGATACAAAATTGTTGCAGATACAATTCCATCTGGTATGAAATACCGGTGGAATCACAAAGGCTACTTCTGTACGTGATGCGAAGGTGCATGGAACCCTGTTTTTTAAGCGCCGGCAAGATTTATGTCTTCTCTTTGAAGAGCTTCACTACGGTAAAGATTATTTACGAACTTTATGTTGTTACATGTTCCATTGAAGCCTCTCTTAAAAACGTACTGACTCTTATCTTAAAGGTTGTGCAGTCTTCAATGTCGTATTTTACTGTACTTGCATCCTTCCAATGATTAATATTCAATATATAATTTGGATATAGTATGCAACTTTAATCTATATATTATAGTGATAGAAATTGTGCAATGGAAATAATACTTACATTAACTTATTACACTGTTAAAATGTCGTTAAATATTTTTTAAATTTCGTTGTTTCACGGAAATTATAAATTATGAAAGGAAATAAGCAGGGATGTTAAATAAAGATATGGATAAAAAACTGTAATATTTATTTTAAGTGTTGAAGTATGTTCACTTTTCATTTGATTTTAAAGGAAGAATATTGGATTCTAAGCTTATTGTCAGTGTCTTTTTCATTTTCACTATCTTGATTTCAGATTGAACAAATTGATAAAGCCTTTATATAAATAGTCAAGTATTTTTTATCTTATTTACAATGTAAAACTACATTTGATTTAAATTTTAAGATTAATTTTTGGCCAATTTTTCGGATTTCTATCCTTGTGCTGTGTTACAAACTGATATTTCTATTTGCGGAGTTAGTTGTAATTTATATATATGTAATTTATATTATGTATATCATAGTAGTTATATTTACCGTATTCTTATAACGATCAATGATCAATGCATAATTTTGGATATTTGTGCAACTACAATTACATTGTAGTGACAGAAATTGTGCAGTAAAAAAATAGTATTTACATTAACTTATTAATTCTGAACAAATTATCAACATTATTAAGATATTACCGTTAAATATATTTTTAAATCTTGCTGTTTTACGGAAGTTACAAGTTATAAGAAGAAATAATGGAATGGGAAATGAAGAAATGAGTAAGAAATTGTAATATTTATTTTAAGTGTTAAATGTGTTTACTTTTTGTTCAGCCCTTATAAAAATTTTATACTAGTACTGGCCAATTTTAATTACTTATTCTGAGTATTAAAAATATTATTAACGAAACTTTTTTTAGTATTAAATTTTTATAAGGGAATCTTAGAGGGAAGTTATTACTCGAGTTTTTAGTAATGGACTAGGTTTTATTTGCATCTAATATAGTACATAGTAACGTCGTTAGCGCAAGTTGCGAAAACAAGAATTTAAAATCATTATAACTGATGAAATTTCATTTAATGTAAACAAAAATCACGCGTTATCGGTATTAGCGAGCATGTCGTCTCGCCCGAAACGGTCATATACTACACTTGTCAGTGATTTTTCGATATTATTATTACAAAAATCAAAATCGTCAAAGTTAAGCTTGAACAAAGAGAAATGAGTTTTAAATATCTTAAACATTTAGTTTGATAACTTACTCACCTATATTATTATAATAAAATCTTTTTCGTGTAAGGCAAAAGTTGTACCGCGAAAATATTATCAACTTTCTCCAAATATTTTATAGCAATTAAAACGAATGTCATATTGCAGCGTCAATGAGTACCACTCAGTATATCGTTCGGATATTCCGTATAGGAGTTTTGGGATCGTCAACTCTTTCTTCATAAATAAAAAAGTGTAACAAGAAGGAAGGCCGAGAGATAGATTCGATATCATAAAATCGACGATATTTTTTATTTCGATGACTCGTAATGTTGAACTTGAGACTGTAAGTTTTACGATCTAACGGGATATGTACGTGGATATATGCGCATATGTTGTACGCAAGACGAAATGTCTCTGTCGCATTTTCATCGCACATCGAGCAGTATTTTTAACTATCTTTGAATATTGGATACTACATCATGTCTCTTCGATTTACCAGTCGAGAGGAAATTTGATCTTGCCATTCGATATAGTAAAATACTCGTAGATAAAATCTTTCAAAACCACTAAGCTTTCGAACGATGCTTTTGCATCAAGCTTCCACCGCTCAATTGTACGCTGAAGATACGTAACAATGAAAAAAGAGACGGCTTTCTTCTTAGCTTCTTTCGAAGATAAAAACGGCATCTGTCGCTTTCGAATCTACCGGATACACTTCGGCGCCTTTATAATGCCCTTGTCACATGATCTCTCTTTCGTTCCTCTATAATTATTGTAGTAATAGTATTGTCTGTTTCCCGACTGCGTTCGTTTCTGTTCCTTTAACGCTTAGGCGATCGTGCGATCGTGATAAAGTGACGTCAGAAAAGATCGTGACGACCTGGCTATTTTCATATTGCGATTGTATGAATGTATATAACTGGTAATAGTATGTATATACACATTTTTCCGTGTACGTTCGACACTAATTATTCGTAGTGTATATGCATGGTATTTTGTATATATTATATATTATCGCGTGGTATATAGTATACGATATTTGTATGTATATAGATATATCCTACTCTATATATGTATATGTATATATTGTATATTTATATATAACTCTGGGTACAAATAATGCTTACAAAAATATTAATTTGGGAAGGCAAATTTTCAATTATAAGTCCGTTAGTCTTGAAATATTCACGAATGCAACAATAACAATGGCCGATTTTATCTACAATACCGAAATCATAGGGAAATCTTCGTCCGCGTCTTTCGAACTCAACACAAGTCTCCGCGTGCCAATTCGCCTCCTATCTCGGAATACAGCCCTAAAATCTCAAACTAATCATTATTTCTCCGATATCTCGAAACCTCTCCCTTTCGATGTTGTATTCTTTTCACCTTGTTTTTTATTTTTTTTTTTCATGCTTCCTGAATAAAGATAGCAGCTGTCCCAAGAACAGCAGTAACAATAAGTTAATAACTAATTGTTATCGTACACTACTTACAAATTTTACTTACAAACTCGCGTATCCTAGCGTACTATTTTACTAAATCTTTTGGTAAATTCGACGCCAAAAAAGGGCTCTGATATGATCAGTGGTTATTTCCAATATTTTTGAATATCGTTAACATGCGTTTGACTGTGTAGAATGATATCGTAATGAAGAATGATCAATATGACTTTAAAATAAAATATATACCGAGAAAATATATATATACTAATGAAATATCAATATCTTACTTGACAATCTACCAATGTGCCGATAGTAACTCTGATCACACGAAAGCCCCATTACGCCACCGCTGATACTTCTAACATTTATCTTAATTGCGTTATCAATTAACATCGTCATTAGACCCAAAAAGGAAGACTCTTGTGACGTTTTTTCACTTCCTGCTGTGGACGCTTAACCCTCTCGCCTTTCGAATTATTTATTGCTCAGAATGATAAAAATCGTTTGACGTTGCACGAAACCTTTTAATCACATTCGCTGAACTCGGCGAAAGTACTTCCGTACAACGCAATCGCGTGGATTTAATTAGAAGTCTCATTCGTTGTATCAGTAACATTTCTCGAGTTACATGTGTCATGTGAAATTACACGTAATGTATAATTTCGAACAAGATTAGTAAATACAATATTTGATGTCACCAAAAATTAAACGAAGAAATTCGTATTTAGTATTTTTGAAAATATAAATTTCCGTATCAAGCAAAATAATTAAAATTTAATAATTACTAAATCGTTAAAAAATCGATTGCTAAAATTTCTTAAAATTTTTATACAATGCAATAAATAAAACTGCAAATGTGTGCTTGCATAAAAAAGAAATAATCGTAAAATAAATTGTACATAATTACCTGTAAATAATAGCGCGTCGTAAAAAATTGCAGGAGTTGTAATCGTGAGTGTTATATACATGTCCGTTCTTCTTTTACAATAAAAAAAAAGAAAATTAAAAAAATATTAGGATTTTGTCCAACAAAAGTCTCTTCTGGCTGTAACTTGCGGAGATCTTCGTAATGTCAGAAACGATTGGGTTAAACGTTGAGAAATTCGGTGCTTATTCTAACGCTTAGTGCTTTGGTGAAAGCTATCTTGGGCCCCGATGCGCCGTGTGGCGTCCTGGACCGTCGGCCTTCCTCACAATCTCTCCACGTAGTTACCCGGGAACGTGCCAAAGTAGCCGGTTCTCTGACTGGAACCAACATACCATCCGTCGTCGCACTTCTCCATCACGTACACCGTGTCGCCCTCCTTCAACTCCAGCTCGTCGTCGTTCTGCGGTTTGTAGTTGTACAACGCCCGGTATCTGTCGAAATGTAAATGTCTATGAGTTCGATATCTGTGCTTCCTGCCACGATAGAATGATTCACGCACGAATGAGAAGATAACGGTTCAAATTTATCAAGACAAAAAATCAATAACGCATTCTGTGTCGTGTGTGAATTATTGATGATCGACTGGACTTTGTAAATTCGGACAGTTTAATATATTATTTTAGTTATACTCTAAAACATATCGATGTGAATTTCAAACCTGTTTATGTCGAGATCATGATATGAATTTAAAACCCATGGTGTTAAATCCACATTATACTAGAGTTAATATATCAACATTCACACAGTAAGAATTATATAGACACCGCTATTTTTTACAATTTATATAAAAAGGAACACGATCACAAAATATTTTCTAAAATAATAAATTGTTACATAATTATTCTACACAGTGCAATTTTAATCACTGATAACAACAGTGATCGGTTGTTGTACTGCTATAAGTATTTTGAAACATATGTTATTTAATAAATATATACAATAAATACAACAACATAAGTTATCGGTGATCCACACGTGAATGACATGTCACATAAAAAATTAATATATAATATATATATATATATATCTTCGTTTAAATGTAAAAAGTTGCAAGACTCACGGGATCGGTTCCGAATGCGTGTCGATATGCAGAGTTTCGCTGAGTTGTGACACATGCAACTTGCTCCCTCCCATACGTGGCTGAAAAGTACGAGGAGAAAGGATTGTGACGCGTGTATTTTTGAAATGCTTTCGCTTTATTAGAACTGTCTCTTTCAATGAAAATGGCGTCTCTCGGCCGTTATCCGATGTTATAATGAAAAGTTACGGGAAGATTTCAATCATGCCGCGGAGTAATTATGCCATGACACAAGATCGCGCGATAGTTACCAGTGAATTATAATGGGGCTGGGTTGTGTTGATATTGACCGGGATGGACGGCACGTAATGATGGGGTCCCATACTCATTTTCCCTCCGGACGAGCCGTTTGCTAAGAGACTGTGCGCCGCCGGAGACGCGACCGGTTTATTCTGAATCGGTGTCTCTAAAATAAAAGAAGGCAAATTTCGTACAAATTTCGTCGAGAAGCTCAATTCGTGGTGCTTTTATTAACACTCTATCAAGTTTCTTGGTTGCTTTTTTTGAAATCTTTATCTATAGTGATACTAAAAAAATATATTTTGGGGAAAGGAATACGATAAAATAATAAATTATAACAAATTTTATATTGGAGGAAAGTTGTAAGATTTTAAAAATAGATCTCCACGAATTAAAGATTAATTCGACTTTCTTGATTTAAATTACCTGATCGATGTCCGGGTTCGATGATAACTTCGACGTAGGAAATCGGAAAGATCCCTTTTCTGTTTCCTATACGTCCTTCGTACCAATTTTCGTCAACTCTCCTGGTTAAGACCACCAATTCGCCTGTGGAAAAATATCAGTAAGTATGCCGCAAAGTAATTTGCATTTCTTTCGTTACTTCAAGTCATGTTTAGAGAAATCTACTCGCAACAGTGGTCTCACCTTTCGCCAAGGATAACTCGAGATTGGTCTGGGCGATAAAGTTAAACTTGGCCCGCGCTTGTCCCTCGTGAGCCTTCTTTGGTGTCGTTCGCATCGTACCATCGTACGGTAGGATCTGTATAGAATAAATTATAACTAAGTAAAAGCACACACAACACATACTTTGTTGCCAGGTATCCAACTTTCACTTCTCGCATCTACGCATATTAAAATCTAGATTCATCTGGCGATTACCTCGACGTAGTTGGAAGGGAACAGTCCGATCATCGCGTTGTATTCTCCCTCGTACCAATTCTTGTCCACCTGTCGTCGAACAAATATGAGGTCACCGCGCCGGAAAGTCAATTCCCGGGACGACTGACCGACGAAATTGTAGAGTGCTCTTGCCACCAGACGCGGCTCCGGTGTTTGATCTTGGGATCGACTTCGCTGGCTCAAATCGTCCACGAAATCGTCGTAGCGATTCAGGGGTATGGGCGACTTCTGCGATGGTCTGGAAATTGTTGAAGTGTTGTCGAGAAGATGGAATGGTTTCTCTCAGACGCGGCGAACCAGGATTGTCTTTCTGTTTGCTTCGGGTAAATGCTAACTCTCCTCGGCATTGTGATGATTATCGAGTACTCGCGGTCGAAATACGCCTCGGAGGAATGTAAATCTATTCTTTCGATATACTTTGCAGTCTTTTTCAGGATTCATGATAACTCCAGCCAATATGTTTTACAGTTAAATAGTCGATAAAGTTAACTAATCCTTATACATTACTCGCGTGGTTTTTTTTAAATATAATTACTTGTATACTTTTGACATCTCCACATGATTTTTTAAATTTTTATTATTCTATTTGAAGATTTGACAATTAAATACAGATTGATAATCATTTATACACGTTGAGAAAAATTTTCTAAATCTTAATATATATTTTTTTTAATAGTACTAAGTAAACATTGCAAATATTTATTTAATAAAAAATGATAGCTGAATCAAATTACTGCTTTTTATTATATATGAAATGAATATATGTTTATATTTACAGCAAATATTCACATAGAACTATACAAATAAATATTTATTAAAACTGAATATTTTTCTCAGTGCATCTTTTAGATAAAGGTAAATGCTAAAAATTGTTTTTAAATTATAAAAAAATTGTGCTAAATATTATAACGTGCATTCATTAAGCAAATTTATAAAACCAAGATGTCCTGGACACTGCGAGTAATAAATGGGTAAAGATTAATGCAGAGTTTCTTGAAACATCTTCTTTTCAATAAACTCAGGACTTTCTATTTCGCTATTGAGAATATCTAGGGCTACTTGAGCATCAATGAAATCTCTCTCGGTTTTTCTACCCGTGTGTGTTCGCCTACACTTTCATTGTGACGCCCGCGTAAAACAGCTCACGGTGCACGATGTGTTATGCAACGGCGTTGAATAGCAGGAAGTGTTTACGAGCCGACGACCGGGTATGACAAGCTGAAGATGCACATGCCTTTCTCCATACCATTATTAACGTCATCTTCGGAAATATTCTCGCGTACGAAGGAAAGGGACGAGGAAGCATAGAAAAGTATACGTGAGAAGGATACACGAGTTTTCCAATACAAAACGTCATTAGAGTGAGGATATTTGTTTCTTCATCGACGAAAATAATTCGAGTCTTACGCGGCTTAAAAGGATGAAATGATTGAAGCTTCGATTCGATCCGACGTCATCCATTGACTGCGCCTCCCGAATTAAAAAGGACGAAAAGAAAGAGGAGGAGATATCCTTTGTACTCACATGAAATTATCCGTGTGCCTGCGAGAGTCGATGTCGTGCAACTCCTGAAGATACTTGCGACGGCGCTCCTCCTGGTAGACGCGCCGCATGTTCTCCGCGCTGCGACGCGCGAGCTCCTCCTCGCTCAGCGGCTCCTTCGCCTCTGTACGCACCGGCGAGCGATAGTGAATCGTCACCTCACCCTCCACATAACGCCTCGGCGATTCTGCATCAAGCGAGACGCGTTTATCGTCACTGATCGACCCGATCCGCGGAACGTGTCGCGTTTCAACCGTTAGAATTTTTTATACAGGACGCTTTAATACGATCTTCTCTATTTCTATCTATATATGTATACATTTAATGCAATTTAATTTCGATTTAATTAAAGCCTGACCTGTGACACGCATGACGAGATGCGACGCGAGAGGGTGTTGTTAATTTCGGTTTAAATTATTCGATTGACGCAAGAGCGTTTTATTGGGGCGCGGTTTAAATTCGCGTGCCATTTCATCGAGTTAATCGTCGTCGTCAACCGCTCCAGTGAACCCGCAGTCGTTATTAAAAATGATGGCAAATCGTTCGATGTCGATCGTAGATTCATAATACGCGACAGTCTAAAGTATGAAATACGATCCTTACATCGTGACTCTTTGTTCTCAATCGTGGACGTTATTTTAATTCGAATTAATATAATAAAGGGTTTTTTTTTTAATAAAAACAGCATTATACAATGAATTATTTCATCCCCTTTTAACGTTGGTAAAAAACAAGGATGTAATAATTCATTGTGCTACACTGCGTCTTTGCTGGAAACATCATAGTGAATTAATTTTGTTACTTTACAGGCTACATTAAATTAATGCACATTAAAGGCTACTTTATATAAAGTACCTGCAGTGGCATAATATAATTAACTTTGAATTAACACTGAAATAATGTCTGCACATTCTGTTAAATAGCATGACGATATCCTAATTGAATAATTTAATCGTTAAAATATTTGCATGCTTTTACTGCAGTGGATGAAACACATTGCATAATACTATACGATTTGTATACTATATTTTGTTGATAACAACTGTAAAATTTAGTAGAATTATTTTTCTGTTATGTCTTCTTTGAGCTATTAAAAATATTTTTATAAACGCTAATTTCAATTCTATTGGATCACACACACAGTACAAAAGTTCTGGCTCGATTTATCATTCAAAATTAAAATAACTACACTTCTAAAAAAAAAATAAGTAAATAAATAAATTTTAAAAAAAGGATTTTAAAGGATTTTAAACTATATTTTTTTAGTTTTTTTTCTGTGTAAATTTAGTAATTTTTACATATAGAAAACTACAAACTGAAAAAAATGGGAAAATTTCTTCTCATTTTGTAGACTTCTAAAATGTTTTAAAAAATTTGCAAAAATTTTCGACTTTCTAAGCTTTGTGTGAAGCTGAAAACTTAAAGTTTTCCTTACAAAATCGTTTTTTAAAAGTTTTTCTGAGATTTTTTTATCACTGCGTTATCGCGGATTAAAAACAAAAACATTTTAACTTTGACTGCTCATAACATAACTTCATAAAAAAAATCGTAGTATCGCAATTTAAAAAACAAATACATAAGACTGAAACTTTGTTCTATTATATAGTATAGTATAATTTTCAATTTGAGTAAACTATTACGTTCTGAATTTACGTAAAATCTTTGAAATTAGACCAGAACTTTTGCACTGACCTAATATTACTTGTATATTTTAAATTATCAAGAATCTTATCGTTAGCTTTGCTTCTACATTTAACTTTGCTAATTTCATGTAAAACAGCTTTTAGTATGCATTAACGTAATGTAATGCGAGTGACCGAATTCGCTATCAAGATCACATTCGCGAGAGATGGGACTTTGATGTCTCGGCATCTTTAACGTTTGATGATGTTCAAGTCCCGACTGTTATTAGAGCACGCGACAATCATATCCAGTCAGATATAATATTACGAGGAAGAATTGAATCACACAAAAGACGACAATTTAACCCACATCGAGACCACCGCTTGTTTAATATCCCATTCTGCTACAACATATGGCTTCTTCGCGGAGAGAAACGATACTTAAGACGCGGTCGTCGACCGGCACGAGGCAAAAATCTAGATACGGTGTCTGAACATGAGTTCATGTAATGCTCGATTACATTTGATTACGCGCGCGTGATACAACATAACTAAATTATCAAACATAGCGCAATGAGTGTACAGCGATATTTGTAAAATTATAACGACAGTTATACCAATCTGGAACATGTATAAGCTTCCGTTAAATGTCCCTGTTAGTATAGCTTAACGCATTTACAGACGATTATTATTTATTTATGCAAAAGCACGTAGCAACTAACGACCGCGTATCGATTCGCGTAACGCGTTTCTCTGTCTCTATTTCTCTTGCCTCTCGTCCCTGTTTATCTCTTACGAGCATTTAAAAACTAGGAAGTTCCGTATTTCAGATGCGAACGAAAATGTTTTGCACGCAGCTGCTTTCCTGCACGCGCTGCGCGGGATAATGACGAGAGTTTATCGCGATGCAACAGCACGCGCGTGCATATACCTGCAGGCACGATGCGTACTCGCGTGCGTCGGGCAGCAACGAGACCGTGCGACTGATAAAGTGGAATACAGCTTGCAACTGATCAATTCTTAATAAAGCGCAGCCGCGATGACCAGGTCGATGTAAGCATCGTGAGAGTGCGAACCCGTGGCACGCAACCAAATCTTTCATGGCACGTATTATAGAACTATTCGAAATATATTTCGATATCAGTCTTAAACGTAAGCATCGTGAGAGTGCGAACCCGTGGCACACAACCAAATCTTTCATGGCACGTATTATAGAACTATTCGAAATATATTTCGATATCAGTCTGAATTTGTTTTTTAAATTGCGATACTACAATTTTTTTTGATGAAGTTATGTTATGAGCAGTCAAAGTTAAAATGTTTTCGTTTTTAATCCGCGATAACGCAGTAATAAAAAAATCTCAGAAAAATAGAAATTATTCTATTTTTTTCTTTAAAAAACACAATACACTGAAAAAAGAGTGTGATAATAGCCATAAAATTGAGATGGCTGCAATCGAATGTTTGGTCAATCCAATCAAAAATAATTTTACTTTTTTATCTTTTAATAGATTCTTATTAATATCTTACACTACTAATATTCTTATAAAGATGTTTATTAGCATGAAAAAAATTGTTACATTGCCTGTCGATATAATAAGTAATATTATTACTCTGATTCTGCTTATATAAATGCGTTTCGAAATCGAAAAAGATTTCAGGGCACAGTTTGCAGAATATGTATATAAATTCACACAGAAATATTAAACACTAAAATCCGCTTTAATGAAATATAGGAATTCTCATATTTAATTATAATAATTTTACTTTTCTAAATATTTGCAAACGGTTGATTATAATTATCATATCTGATAATACTTGATAACTAAACATTTAAAAAAATTAAATTATCTTCGATTAAATTAATCGAACATTTGATTAAAATTATGTCACTCAATATTTGACTATTTTATCAGATTATTTTCAGTATAGAAGTAAAGACACATAGTTGAATAATTACGATCGGAATCTACTCCAAATACGTACTCGGGTTCCAATTGCAAGAAATTTGTTTTTCATTCCAAAAACAATTGAAAAGTGTGAAGAATCACAATGCACGATAACAGGAAAATGTTATAAAGTAAAATCATGAAGCAAAAAAAATAAAACGGATACACGGAATATAAATAATAAAAAACAAAACTCTTCTTTCGGATCAGATTTCAAATCGCAAACTTTTGTCCTTCTTCAGTGAAATCTCTCTGGATCCTCTCGCGATTCTGCAGAACTACTTTGTTTCATACCGTCATTACTCGTGTAACCCAATTTGTTAGCGTGTAATGCTAACTCATCACAAATGCCGAAACGAGAAACTGAATTTCAGTCTCTCTTTCTCAGAACGCCGCAACCACCTTTCACCGCTTTCATTGAACGAAATTCTCACGCGATCGATTCTTTCTCTACTTCTCTGTTTCTCGCGCTCATCCTGTACCAAGACTATTTTGTTACGGTACTTTATTATTCTTTTTATCTGATCCTCTCTTCATATAATTTAATTTCGGTTTACCGTTCTATTCTCGACGCGTTTCTAGAATCTTTCGAGGATTATGAGAAGAAAGCTTTTCGCCTTATGACTTATGTCGTGTCAACTATCTTTAACCGCTGGTAATACAAAATTTTAGCCCTTTTATCAGCAATAGAAATCTTCGAAAAATAAAATTAATTTTTTATTCAAATAAGAAAAGTACCTATTATGATCGAAGTTAGATGTTGGAACAATACATTTATATGTATCTTTAAATGAATTTATCTCAGATATACATGCCGATTATTTTCGAACTTTTGCAACACAATCTAACTAAAGTAATATATGAAAAATTTTTTATTGTTCCAGACTATATCAAAATCTAAAAAAATTCTAGTATACTTGTTAAAGCTTCAACAAGTTTTTATCACCGTAGAAATTGAATGTATATTGTATTTTATTTATTTTTTATAGAGAGATCAAAAATTTTTATCTACCAAAATATCGATGTTTTTGAAGATTTCAATTACTGACGAAAAGGCTTAAGGTTAAATATAAATTTCAAATTTTTTTATTCTATTATATTTTATATAACACAGATTGCTTTAATATATCAATGTTAATTTAATATATGTGCTTTAATATATCTGATATAGATATGTTTTAAAATACTTCTATCGACTTGGCTCTAAATATGTACTCTAAGCTTATTAAATTTTCTATGTTAAAACAATGTTCCGGAAAGGGTATGCTGCTCTACCTAATTGGTACCTTGATTCTACTTATTTCTCTATTTTTTCTCTCTCTTCTCCTCAATCATCGCGCCAGCGACACCAGCAACAGCTAGCCGAGGCGATTCTAACGGGGCGCGCGGCTATTTACGCGCGGCAGGAAGAGCATTATTTCAGGAAAATTATGCGCATGTTTACTGACTGTACGGAATCGGTCCGTAGACCGTAGACGGAAGCGCGCTTCCGGCGGCATGAAGTCCGCCAATCGGACTCGTCTGATCGAACAAAGGGCTGCTGGTGATTCGGTCACGGCGGCAGGCATCAGGGTCAATCGGAAGTATTTTCATCGAGGCGGGATCTGCTCTCCGCA